TTAACTTAATCCAATTTTTTAAAAAGATGGCAGCTTCAAAAATATTTGCAATAAAAATTATCCTGTTTTGTTTGATGACTATATCATTATATTAATTTTTTAATCAATTTAATAATATAAGGTAATTGTAAACAGGTGGCAATTCGTTCGAAAAAAATTTGCGTCAAGTTTTTTAAAACTTAAAATTTAATATAAATATTGTAATAGTTCGTACATGTTATCGAAGCTATTCAAAAAAAATTATAAAAACCTGGCAATCTTCTCTAAATATATTTTCAAGTCCCAGCAGTAAAACTTAAATATTTTCTGGTTTCTAATGATTTTTTCGGTATAATTATTTAAACAAGATTATATGCAATAATTAAACGATTTAAAAAAAATAACAGTTTTGCATTTGAAATTATCGCAGAACAAACTTAAATGTCCATTGACTTATCGCATATTCCTCGTAATATATGTAATTGAACTATGGTTTTTTCCGTTAGATGCTTATTTGGCTATGTGCAATAGAGCTGCTTGAACTTCAAATTTAATTAAAACGATTTTTGATTAAATATTTATTTTGGTTATAAAAAACATTTGCAAAATATCCGAAGTACATCCGACATACCTACATATATATGTGTACATATATACTCGTACCAGTTGAATGACCGTTTTGATTTCATTTAAAAGTTAAAAAAAATAGTATTATAGTTATTACGTAGTGAGATACTTAAAGTGTTCTCGAATGCGTTCGAAACATCATACATACATACAAACCTATTTATTGTACTTATCTGTATTTTCGACCTCTAAATATTTCCAAAAATTGTTTCCATATTAATTATTTCAATTTCGTTAAAGAAAAAGCTAACATTTTATCCGTGTGAGTAATAACACGCGTATAAAACTAAATATTGTCTATTTGATCAGACGTCAGGCGATGGGACGATAATAACGAAAAAAGAAACATTGAAAATAAGAGAATATGTTATCTTAGATACATAGTATTGAATTTTTATACCTTTGACGACAATCTTTAGAAAACATTAGTTTAGAGAAGAGAGGAGAAGAGAGTTTAGATGGTAAAATTATGTCTTTTTGTTTGCCAAATAATTTTTTTTATTTGTTAATACCGGAAAAACTTTAAAATATCGTGGCCAATAGCAACGATTATGAGGCCGATATTGGCGAAAGACAATGGAATTGATGGCATCTATTCAAGTATAAATAACTATATCATTGATATATATTTCTCGCTTCTTTTCTGTAACGAGCCTAACCCTCTTCACCTCTAAATCGCCAGTGACCATATTCACGAGCTGGACGAAGGAGTGCATACTGGATCTTATGTTAATATCGCAGTCGATGGCATTAAAATCCGGACTGTTGACAATTATAAGATTTCAGGTGCTACACTCGACAATTCGTACTGTTCCACTTCGCACACGACAGCGATTCGCTTGTCGGCAGCAGAATTTTATGTGCTTTAATTATGGGTAATTCATTTTGAAAACTTTTAAATTCGCTTGATGCCGTAACCGATCTTCAGGTGGGTTTCCGAAAAAATAGAAATTGAAAAAATTTACATTTCAAAGTGGCTTAAAAAATTATTATCAAAAATTTTATTTCTTCAAGCATTAATTGAATCATTACTTGAATTATCTATATAAGACGATCGTGTAACAATTTCAAGCCGATCGATCCAACCGTTTCGGAGTAATTTTCCTCACCGACTCTGAAAACGGCGCGTTTAAAGTTTTGGGAGTCGAATACACTAATAAAATTTTTGGAGAATATTCTCAAATATATATACCTTCGATATAAATATATGCAAAACAAAAATACCATTTTTGAAATTCCCAAGTAGTTATAACACCTGAAGTTAGCACCGCACCTTGAATACTTGAAGTTGGCTCGACGAGATACTAGTCTACTCATATACCTATATCTTTGCCTTCAACGATTTAATTCTCAGACTATACCTAGCAACACTTATTCTCAATCATTCTGAGTTCACCCTGCCTTCCCACTTTTCAAGACACCTCAGTTTTGAAGTGTGCATCTTGATTTTATTTGGAATACGGACTTTTAACTATTATGCCAACCGCTTCAGAATAACTTGTAGATATTTATTTATGAAAGTTGTTTTTGTAGGAGAAATATACTAAAAGGCTTGCCAAATTCTGCTTAGGAGATTTTGCTTGGAATGATTTCAGTTTACAAATCCGCAAAGACGTAAGCCACTCAACTAGAGGAGAAGAAATGTGGATTGAAAAAAGAGGGAAACTTAACTAGATCGCTAACCCTTCCCAACGAATATCGTAAAAGGTATATAGGTAAAGTCGCATCACGAAAGAAATATATCTGAGAACAACGACTCACACCTGCACTTGAGCGCCAAGAAACATACATACATACATACAAATATACAATGTATCTACCAACTTATCAGTAAGTGAGAGTATCTTAAAACAATAAAAAACGGTAAATACAGCAATATGGAGTGCGACAAGCACACGTGTGTGTGTAACCATTGCTTGTATTTGTTTTTGGTTTTTTAATATTATTTCATGCTACCAACATTGCTACTCGGTAGATCGGTATTTCAAGCGCTACCAAGTAACGCTCCAGTTCAAATAGAAGTCGGTTACCGTAGCGAAAAGACGTTAAAAAATAGCGGTTGCGATACAAACACACGAGTAGACTCGAAAACGGGCGGCCGCGTTGCTCAATTCGAAAACTCGACAATTAAAAAACTCAAAACTCGATCGTTTTGGCAGTGTGTTTAACTGTTAGCATAGCGTCTGCAATTGCTAGCCATTGCTGGTGGAATCGATTGCTGCTGCATTTTGATTATTTTGTGTGAGCCGGTCAAACACACACATACGTATATAATAGCTGGATTTTTATTGCTACAAAACGGCACATACATACAAACGTATTTTACAGCTGTTCAAAGCATAAAGTGAGGTATTGAACTTGAAAAGTAATAAGCGCTGAAAACGCCTATACGGTTAAGTTGGCCGCGTGGAAAAAAATTGCGGCGAAAATTCTGTGAAGTTGTTTGGTGCATTAGAAAGATATAAAAAAAAATATATTAAATATGATATTTTTAATTTCAAATATTTCAAAAAATTAATAGCAAAAAAAGAAAAAATTTTACTTACATACAAGTATATAAAAAAATATTTAAAAAAAATTTAATTAATAATGTTAACAAAAACTATTTAAAAAAAAAAAGTTTTAGGAAAAACTTAATTTAAAAAAAATTATTTTAAAAATTTACAAATAATTAGAAAAAGAGTATTTTTTCAACAAAAATTAAAAAATAATAATTATTAAATTAAATTAAAAATTAAATATAAACAATTAACTAAAACCAAAAAGTTTATCAAAAATATATCAAAAGTTTATCAAAAAAACAATTTAATAAAAAAATTAATTTATAAATAATTTGAAAAATTGTGTTTTCTCATTAAATAAATTAAACAAAGTAACAACAACAAACACATACAACATGCGAAATATACACTTTCACATCGTGACCAAAGTACTGCTACTCAGCTTTATTTTCACCACCACACAGCTGTCGTCAACGTAAGTTTATCTGCAAAGCGTGAACGCTTGTTTCTACGTAAAAATTACTCATAAAGTAATAAGCGATGTATTTAAATTTGTTTTCCTATTTTTCACGTTACTGTTTTATCGAAATTGCTTACGGTTTATTTTTTTTTTTCGAGAATACTTTTGAGTGCATTTGAAAATATTGCAAACGATTTTTGTTGAGTTCGACAAAACACGCCTAATTACCGATAATGTTATGTCCGTATGCTGCTAACGAGATTCGCAGCGCCTTGAACTAGAATTTGTGGCGCGCTACTATTTTATATTTGCTAAAAAAAATGCGTTTGCGCAAAAACAAAAAAAAAAACAACTAAACACAAAATTAAAAACAAGAAAAAACATATCTTAAAAAAATAAAATAAAACAGCCAAAATAAATAAAAACTAAATGGAAAATAAAAATATAGGTGCACAAACATATATGTATGTATGTATTTACTCAGCTGACTGTGTGAACACATGTAACATGTTTTTGTTTTTGTTTTTTTTTTGTACTTTTTCTGTTGCTTGCTTACACGTTGACTGCGTTAGAAACCGGTACTTATATGTATACACATACTTACATGTAAATTGATAATGAAATCTCTATTGAAAGCTTGTACTAGCTGCAAATTGTCACTCATACGCACTGGCGTGTACCAACAAACATTAGCGAGACGCCGCTATTCGTTAGTTGAAGGTCGAGTTAACCTCAAATAAACGCTTGCGACGGGAAAAAAATCGAAAGTGCGTAAAAAATGTGTTAAGTGACGTTGTAAAATGCAATTTTTACACACATGTTCTTTATTTATTTATGTTTTTCATTTTTTGGCGCGTTCAAAACTTGTATTTTTCGCTATTGGAACTTGTATTCGCCCAAATAACGCGTAGTGGGTGATGTATTTGCGCTAAAGAAATTAATTTATCAAAATGTTAAAGTGCAAGGTGTAGTGTGTTTGAACTTTTTATGCATTTAATTGTATTAGCAACGGGAGTTGTATGATTTATGTGTTAAATTAACGTTCAGGGTGCCGGAAAGGTTGATGTGGTATAAATCAATTTTTCGAAACAAAAATTTTACAAAATTATTTTAGCCAACTTAATTATTAAAAAATTACAAAAAATTGTGCTTAAATTTGGCGACTTGATGATTTATATAATAATTAAAAATCAATTTTAATTTATAGTTTTGAATAGGTTAATTAAAAATTAGAACTTGCTTAATTCATCAAACAGTTTCTATAATATATGTTTTAAATATAATTTGTTCAAAATATCTTTACCATAATAAATACTATGAAATTATGTGAAAATAGAGTGTATTCTGAAATAGAAAGTGGAAAGTTCTCAGTCAAATCATCTAAAAAAAAATTTTTTTTTTGCATAAGTTGTACAATTTTTTTGCAATATTTTAATATGATTTGTAATTGTACTTTTATTTAAAAAGTGGCATGCTAAAACTATAAAATAGTATATGACAAAACCAGTTAATAAAGTGGTATGTAGTAAAAAGAAATCCATTATTTTTTCGCTGGATGATTTTAGAAATCTGTATCTCGAGTTGCATAAGTGCGATCTAGTTACGTTATTTGGCGCTAGAAAGATAAGGTTTTGAACTAAAAAATATTCTAAGACTGTTTTGTGATCGCTTAACTCAGTATTGTTTGAGGACGCGTCAAGGATGGAAAACAGATGTCCTATTTTACAGTTTTTCTTTAATAAATACAAAAACGCAAGCCTGGCGCCTGAAAATGTGTATAATGTTTATTGTCCTGATACTGTAACACCTAATCACAAACGATTTTAATTCGGTCGCATACGTTCCGGTAAAGATCCTTTGTCTGAAGCAAATAATCACCCAGAAGCGGCCAGCTTTGGCTAATGGGAGAGGAATTTTATTTCAAAAGGATAACGTCACGTAACACACATTGATAGTAACTCTCCATAAGCAATTGGAGCTTCTTTAGGAGTTTCGTATGCAAACACATTATAGTTCGGGCCTAGCATAAACTGATTTCTAACTGTTCCTGTTTATGATAAATAATTTTTCAACGTTTTGTTTTCTAAGGGCCGAGAATTTCTATGAGAGTGTCATTAAGGAATTAGCAATAAGTTAATGCATATTTGACCTATAGCGGATCATTCTAACTATGCTAAATAAAACCTTCAATTCAATGCATAACTAATAAATTTCTCTTTATTAGACCATATATTAAGTTTTGATGTGTTTTTAATCAAATTTATTAATTATGGTGTATTTCCAAGTTAGGAGACATTTTATATAGTAAGATCGAAACTAGATTGTACACTGATGTATTAAAGACTCTTAAACTGTCAAAAAAAAAACAACATTTAATAACTTTTTTATCAAACTATATTATACATATGTATGTATGAAAAACCATGAGCGCAAAATAGATATTCACTCGTATATATTTATTACTACCATAATCTTTAAATTTGACTGAACAAAGCAGAACCTAGTATTAATCTTAATTAGAAGATTTTTCCATTAAATCTCGAAATTACAAAAGTCTTAATAAAATCAAACTTCAAGCACAGACTTGAGCACACTCAAATCTGACAGCAATAACTATTTAGTAGTGTTAAGAGGACAATGATAGCAGTGAACTTGAACTTGATGAGATTTCCACAAAGCGCATACATATACTTTACTGAGTATTGCGTTCTCAAAAATTTTAATACTTTTATTTGCTTTAATTGCTCGAAGAGTAGCAACATGTGCCTTTTAAGCGCATAACTTTTTTAATAAAAGCTGTCTTCTATTCGCCAAGCGTTACTCTCCAACGAATCGAACAAACTATACCAGATGCTCAAACAAAGGCGCAGCACTTGTGGCGTGGTGTGTATTATGTTAAAAAACGTTGGATTACATTTTGGTTTTCTATAAACTATTTATAATAATTTATTTTAAGTCTTAAGTTTTAAAAATACAAGAAAAAAAGGCGCTTAATTTGTCATCATTCACAATACCAGTAAAACTGATCTAAGATATGCAAAACAAAATGTGGTAGCATTGAAGATAGCGGCTATACCACTTTAATGAGGTATCCGCATACTCTTTGTACGAATTCAGCGCGATAACTTTGTTGAAGCGAGCAGAGAAATGGCGAATTGAAGACAGCCGCCAAGCTTCAAAAAACTTTTTCAAACCTAAATTCCATACAATTTGTGAGAATGGTAACACGTAAATATATGTACATACATACATAAAATAATTTGAACAAAATATGTACAAGTATTTTGTTAAATTAATGAGCTATTTCACTCGCTTATTTGGAAATAGCGCCTGATGATTTGCCATTAGAAAAGCCCAAGCCGTCAAAGTATGGGTAGCAGTGAATCTTAATAAGAAAATTTTGTTTTTCTTTTTGATTCAGTATGTCCTAACCTATATAAGTTTGGAGTGATCTGAATCATTTTATGTTCCTTTCTTGGAAAAATAACAATTACAGCAGATCAATATGTAAAAACTGTCAAGCGAACATCTGTCAAAAATGACATTTATAACTCTGCAATAAATAATATATTTGAATATTTTGCCAAACCACCTTGTGATGAGCCGATTTCCCAACACAAATCATATTTCAAAGGGAAGACAATCTCAAATATGCAATTGTGGATGCTCAAATGTATCTGTGTTCATCCGCCAGCACTTTGACAGAAAATCTATCATACAGTAGTCTGAAATGTTTTATAAACATATTTCTATATTTAATTTAGATCAACAGCCCCTAAATTGAAACAAGTAAAGCAGTCTGACATTAAAGCAATATCTGAGTCCAAATATGCGGAGTCATAGTGACTCAATTCAAAGAATTAGATTGCATAGTGTAGACGCCTACAGTTTTAACCCTTGTGATGGTCGACGCAAAGGTTTTTATAGCAAGAAACGACTAATTGGGGCATAAACACTTAATATCGAATCAAAAAATATTTGTTTTCAAAAAACGCGTTAACTTAATAAATTTTAAGTAATTTTCTGTTACTGTTAAAATTCTAAGATTTTTTAGTGCGTTGAGTATCAATATGCACTAATGTTAGGAAGCTCAAGGCAATTACTATGAATTAGTGAGGATATTAAGTGCTATTAGTGCCTGCATTTTAGATATGGTATGATAATTTTAGAACACACATTTCTGTTATTTATAATTTGTGAGAGTAAAGCGGTAGTTAGGCAGCGAGTGCAGTTGACTAGTGTACTTAACACTTGTTATGTTGAAAGTAAAATGATGGTTTCTTTGATGGTTAATACTGCAAATGGGCACGTAGGTATTAAAATAAATATCATTAATAGACAATTGAGGAGTTTGTAGAGTAAAAATACTTTCTGTAATTAGTTTGTGAAAAGAAGTGAAATATATAAAAATAAAAAAATCAAGTAAATTCTACTTATTTTAAGCTTAAATTATATTATATAGTAGAAAATAATAAACTAAACAAGAAAAAAGGTTAGCTTCGGCTGGACCGAAGCATTTCTTATACTAAAAAAAGGTATAAGAAGATTTTCTTGATTTGGAGCGGGCAATTTGCAGCTACATGCTATAGTGATCCGAACAGAACAATACGTTCGAAAATTGTAGCATTGCTTTAGATAATATCTATGGCAATTTTCGTGAAGATAATTTGTTAAATAAAAAAGTTTTCGATACCAGGACTTGATTTTGATCAATCAGTTTGTATGGCAGCTATATCCAATAGTGCTCCGATAACGGTGGTTCCGACAAATGAGCACCTTCTTGGTAACGAAAGGACGTGTGCGAAATTTGAGAACGATATTTAAAAAAAAAAAACAAGCGAACATGGCTAAATTGACTCAGTTCGTCACGCTGTTCATTTCTATATATTTGTTATAGATTCTGCAACATTTCATTCTGGGTGTTAGCAACTTCGTGGCAAACTAAATATGCCTTGTTTAGCGTAGCCACACACCAGCTGTTCTAATTCTTATTTCCGTATAAAAAATTAGTTTTCTTTACAGTTTGCACAATTTTTTAATTATGTACCTTCTTATATATTAACATATATGTACACATGTATGCATGTGTATGTGTGTTGCCTGTTCTAATAAAAGTGCCGCCAATGAGTAAACAAACCGCCATAGAATATCTGTGTAGATGTCAGTGTATGCGTGTGCACAGTTGATTACGAAAGCATTTAAAAAAACATTAAAAAAATTAAAGTTTTTTTATTTTTCAAAGAAAACAATGACAGTAATGAGCTTCGAAAATCCAATAGTAAATAATTGCGGGATGCTTATGCACAAATTAATGGAAAATATTTATACAAAACGTTGTGTTGCATATTGGGTAAACAATGAGAAGCGATAAGTGTTTAGCTGACAAAATATATTTCGTTTCGATAGCATGCGGCACAATATAGGGCTATAGCCAAAATAATTAAATGTAATTTTTATTTTGTTTTTTTTTTGTTTTTTCTTTAAATAAATGTGGTTGTAAAACTAAATATAATTTAAATTGTCCTTTAAGACAGCGAAGGTTAGCAAAATATTATTTATTATTCCAGAGTTTAAAAAAAACAAGCGGGATTATGCCTTAAAAGTTGCACAAACACATTTTTATATACAGTTATATGTATTTGTTTTTGTTGTTGGGCTTTCGCGTAGATTTTAAAGAAATACGCAAATGAACTTAACTCCACAATGATAACGGACCCAAAGCACTTTCGTGTTGTTGTTGTTGTTGTTTTCCAAAATGTGCTTTTTTTTGTTTGTATTTTCTCAACTGTCGATACACTATTCGCTAGTGTTTCACAGTTTTATGAGTTTTTTAAAATCCCCTGAAGTCTTATACATACGGTCAGTATGTACTTGTATGTATGTTTATACATATGTGTATGCCTTCAATAAAATGCAAGCGCACAACTATGAATATATAGTGTATACATACAAATACACCTATATAAGTATGTTTGTCTGCTTATTGCCGCGTATTTTTTATTTGCACATTTCAATAAATATTTGCACAGCACGACATTTGTCAACTGAACACAAACAACGGTAAGTTCGTCACGGTTGATCTCTTTCATATCAGCGAAATTGACACTTTTAATTAGCACACCATCCAATTGGCATATTAAAACATTTATTTTCTGGGTAGAACATGTTGTTTGCCGTTGCATATTTGCAAAACTTTGCAGTCGAACCCAATAAATGTCGGCTCATGCACATAGAAGTGTGCTCTGAATATTTTAATAGCTCTCTATTGTATGCAAAAGGCAGATTTTAAAAATCGTCCGAATACTTCCCGGTTAACTTTGACTAAGATGTGGTTACTGTGCTTGTTATTGAAAAGAAAAAACAATAAATGATTAATTTTAAGCAGTATAGCCATTAATAAATTTAGTTTGCATATTTCAGGGCGCTCGCACTTCTGTTAATGCAATTATTTGTAAATGAAACTTATACGGAAGAGTAACTTAAGTCCAATTTGAAAAAAAAGGTTTTGTCTTGGTTAAAAGCTATATGTTAAAGAGCCTAAGTATAAATAATCCATTTTAAGAAATAATGTGTGAATTTGATTCGGACTGAGAAAAAAATTTTTTTTTCAATTCTCTACAAATCTTTAGTATCGTCTTCAAAATAGGCTCCAGAGCCAGTACGTTTAATCCAATTTCAAGTGCACTTGTTATAAGATTCGGTTGGAGTGGCATTCACTGCCTGCAGCGAATGACTTCAATCGAATCATGGCGCGTTCCCCGAAACTAAGATTTAAGTTTCGAAAACAGGCAAAAGTTACAGGGAATCAAATCTGGCAAATACGGTGGCTGGGCGATAAATCTCATTTCGTCTATGATCAAAAGTCAGTCACAATGACGTTAGAATATGACGGCGCATAATCGTGGTGAAAAATCCATGAAGTTTCGGATCATTTTAGGAGCGCCATTCGCTAGATTGTTGGACGTCATATTCATAAACCCGTCTCCTCCTTTGTAATGCTGGGTTTTATCAAATGTAGGGTACTCAGCTAAGCTGGTAAGCATCTCTTTTGTGACCTCTAACCGACGACAAAAGATTCAGATCTTTTTGTATGAGTATAGCATGTCCAAAACATTAACCAAAATGTACTAAGTCGATCCGTTAAGAGATGTCAATACGATGCGCACGGTTTCTTTAACATTTCGATTTTATCTTCTTTAACAGAGATCCAACGAATTCACGGTCTCCAAAAAATTGTTTTGGTACTCAGACGGTATATCTATGTTGACAGACTAGACCTGTAATTATCCGAATTATTCGTCAACCTCTAAATGTAGTACACCTCCATCCATAAGATTTTCTTAAGGTCCACGAAATATTGTTGTTGTAGCAACATCGAATATTTTTGAGCAATGCTGTCGAGTTCACAGTCCTGGGTCCGATATAAAATTAGATCCGTTCCAGTTACTGACTATCGTGTTAATGGTCGTCGAAATAATAGTTTTCTGTAATCCTGTACCCTTCTTCCGGCTTCATATTATATTTTGCAAGTGGTAGTTACGCAAAGTACTAAGTCATAATTTAATCTATTAATTTTTGTCATTGGAATTGCACTTATGGAGCGGGGCTTGGTGGAATACTTTTCTAAAACATAAAATTAATATCAAGTTAGCACATAGCTCTAAAAAACTTATTAATATTTTTTGTAGCTTATATACATATGTCAACTTCTAAATATAGGTACATAATAAAGTAAACTCAAAACTGTGTTAGTTAAGTTATAAGCCTACATAATTTCTCTGAATCCTCAACATCCGCTTGTAACAAATTAATACAGTCTATTTATTGCTTGCCCTTCTCCAGAGCGTCACTTGCTGCTGAAGTGGAGGAAGATTGTCCGCCAATCTCGAACGCTACAAACTTACAACAAACACAACTAATCCAGCGGTTAACGCACGTATGCCGTTATGATCGTTTGGAGCGACCAATCGGTGAGTTAAAAAAGAAAAAATTTTATAAAAAATACAAAATAAATAAATATTTGTACTTATTTACAGAATATGGCATGAATGGTGAACGTCTGCCCGTTACTGTTACGGCGCGCATCTACGTGTACTTCTTGCAAAATCTTAATTCCGACTTGTTGCAATTTAAAATGCACGCGCTACTGCAGTTAAGCTTCAACGACAGTCGTCTGGCTTACAAAGAGTTGAAGCGACACGACAATATCATCGGGCAGAAACATTTGAGCGAACGCCTTTGGCTGCCGCATATCTTCTTCGCCAACGAACGTGACTCCAGCATTTTGGGTACAGATGAGAAAGATGTTTTGACCTCGATATCGCCCGAAGGACGTGTCGTCATATCGCAGCGTTTGCAGGCAACGCTCTATTGTTACATGAACTTCAAGAAGTTTCCCTTTGACGAGCAATTCTGCGCGACTGTATTGGAGAGTTGTAAGTTGAAGAGAGAGAGAGAAGGAGAGAGTTGCTTTTTTTAGAGCAAATGAGAAACAAATTTGTGTATATTTACAGGGATGTACAACAAAACGGAAATGGTGCTCAAATGGGAGCCTTATTCGCCGATCTCATTCGATCCGGAAATGCATCTAACCGAATATTATATGCAAGGCTTTTGGTATAACGAAACGATTGTTAACTCGGATGGTATTAATTTGCGACATGGATCGTTCGGTGAGTGAAATATTGTTGGTTCTTTAAGAGAAAGTTTCGGTTATAATCGGGTTATTGTTGGTTGTGTGTGAGGACTTTATGATATTCAATATGTAATCATATGTAATTTTAATTATTATGCTCTTTTATTTTTGCAGTTGGTAATTACAGTTCACTCAGTTTTACGGTTCATCTTAGCCGTGAGACCGGTTACTATTTGATGGACTATTTCTTGCCCTCAATGATGATCGTTGCAATTTCGTGGGTTTCATTTTGGTTGCAGGCCGATCAGTCCCCTCCCCGTATCATGTTAGGTAAGTATTTAAATAGTATTTGTGTTCGAAAAGAAAATTAACTTTCACCTCACATCAATATAAATTGAAAGTGTAAGCGAAAATTTCTAAAATTTGTAAAAATCGGAAGAAGATAAATCAGCTGACTTTGTTTACAAATTCTGCAGTCTCTGACTAGAAAAATTGTCTCGAATAAAGCTGCTGTTTACTCCGAGCAGCTGTCTTCTTTAGAGAGAAGAAAGCAGTGTATAAATTTCATATCTCCATTGGAGCTTAATATTTAAGCTTTATTGAGCTTAAAATTAGCTTGTTTCGAGCTTGCTCTCAATCTTAAAAGTACACATTTTGAACATAAGGTATTTGTCGCCCAACCAGATTAAAAGTTTAGCCGTAAATGAATTTAAAAGAAAAAAGTTGCCTACCTTTAGGCGCCAATGAATGGAAGTTGGACTAAAAAGGTTCAGACCTTTTAAAATACTCTTCAACTATCATTATTTACATTTTGACCAGAAATTTGTTTCCAAAAATGTTGCCTACATTTAGGAGCCCAGAAAAATATTACATTATGGAGCTAAGGCCAGATTTAACTTCTGTCAATTATTGAAAATGAAATTACAAAAACCAAAATATTTTCACGATAAAAACAAACGCAAGATTAAAATTTTGGTCGAAAATTATTTTAAAAAGAAAAAGTTGCCTACCTTTAGGCGACAAGCAAAATAAAGTTAAATTATAAAAATAAAGCTTTAGGCTTCTGTAAAAGTCATCAGAACAAAATTTTGACTATAAATTAGTTTTAGAAAATGTTGCCTACATTTAGGAGGAATTTTATGTAAGATTGCATTTAAAATTCCTTTAAAAACCAGCCATCATCATCTCATACTCATCTATAACAATATAATATGTTTTTCTCATACTAAAATTTTCACTTGATGCAATTTTCTTGCAGGCACCAGCACTATGTTATCATTCATCACATTGTCCTCATCCCAAACGAAAACCTTGCCCAAAGTCAGTTATATAAAAGTATCTGAAATTTGGTTTCTCGGCTGCACATTCTTCATCTTCGGCAGTTTGGTCGAATTTGCCTTCGTCAATACGATTTGGCGACGCAAAGAAAATGTGGAATTGAAAAAAGTGAATAGTAAATACATAGTGAAGGCCTCGCTAACACCGCGTCCAACCAGACGCGATATAAATAAGAATAATCTGTCGCGCACGCGCTCCTGTTCCAGTCTCGATAATATAACATCCAGCACGGAAAGCGTATTGAAGGGTAATTCCAATCCGGGTTACAACAATTACCTAACTGTACATGTAAGTTAATGCGGCGAAGTAGTAGCGGTTGAAAAGTACAATAACTGTAAAATTCCATAAATATTTTCAGAACCTACCGATTATTACCACCGAGTGCGCAGACACAGCTTCTGTGACGAGTGAGCGCAATAGCAACGGTACTGATCATGTCATTAATATTGATAAGGGTGGAAATTACGGCATGAGTGATAAGGAGAAGGAAGCAAATCCTGATCATACAACATTTACAACAATGACACCACAAGAGATCGCCATGTGGATCGATCGGCGTTCACGTTTCCTATTTCCGGTTATGTTTTTGGCTTTCAATGCGCTCTACTGGACATTTGTCTATTGCTTTTGATACAATCCAAACGAACATACATACGCACACACATACACAGCTAATTTTATAAGAACATTGTAGTATTATTTAGCAATTAGCATATACTTATATATGTACATACCAAATAATATTTTTAAGTTACCGTTTTACATAAGCAGATATATACGTATACTATGTATGTAACTCTGTAGATAAACCGCTTATATACTATAAATGTATGTAACAGTGCAACATTTAGCTTGCCTTTTCCCGCAAAACTAGTCACTAAGTCAGCTAAAACGCATACATATATACTTACCTAAATACATACGTACGTAGTTGCATATGTAGGTATATATTTAAGTTTCATTCATTTGTACTTAAATGCATGAAGGCATTCAACAAAATCTTCCGTTCTATATATATACATACGTATATGTAAATATATATACATATATACAAACAAATGTACATCCATACATATGTATGTATCTAGAGAGTTCTTGTGCCAATAGACCGAACACGAAGATTCTACAATTTTTACACATGTTTTTTATCTGAAAAATAAATGTTTTTTAAGAATATTTTGTTGTTTTTGCTTTTGTAATATTAGTACGTACGCTTCGATGGGTATTTCATTAATTTATATCACACAATGATTTGGCAATTTCTTCACATCCCTTATCAACTCACTTTGCATCAGTCGTTGATGAGTCAAATAATTGCTCATGAAGTTGTTGGCAAAACAGCGAGACGATTATTAAATTTCATTGAAAATTAATTTACAGTTAATTAAATATGAGTTTTAATTAGTAACCAGTACGGTGATAAGTGATAAAATGGGTTTTTGAAAATCTTGCAATTCGCCGATGGTACTTTACCCACACACACTTACATATATACATATATATGTATGTGCATATACTTACACCTACTTAGTATAAAGAACATATACGGAAATGTTGTTACACATATTCTTAAACAACAGTTTTTTAAAACGGTAAGTAAACTTTACAGAAATTTAATTAACTCATAAGGAGGAAATGCTCGTTTTTCAATTTTGGCATAGTTTTAATAAAATATTAAATAGCTTTTTTATTTGATGATTTCATGTTTTTACAGCTAGTTTTAAAAATAAGTATACATGACTTTCTGTTCCGTATACCGAGCAGTTATAAACTCATACAGCTATTTTTGGTCACATTTTTACAGATTAATTATTTGTTGTTGTAACAGTCTGAAACGTAAAGAATATGTTTTGTAGCCATCCCTTGGCCATGTAAAATTTCATTTTAAATTTAAGTTTCATTAAATTTGTATAAGAATTGATTTAACCAAATCTAGTTATATAGTTAACGCTTGAATTGCGAAGTTATTAAAAAGTCCGTGATTTTTTTAATTTTTCTAAACCATATTCAGAATTTATTATTTTCTGTAGAGAGTCAATACCTAATACATGCATTTTATATACATATGTACGCACATATACGACACACAAATACATATACATATATTGCCCGGAAATCACTGGTTCCTCAAACTCTACATCCTGAGAATTTATATTTTATCATTACAACCAACTGAACCATATAAATATTTCTTATACTGAGTAAATAACAATATAACTGGTGTATTTTTAAATGTATAATACCGTTAGTCTATGGAATGCATATTGTTAACTGTAAATTTAGACTTGGCGCTGCCCTTTATAAGCAGTGTGAAAAATAAATGTATACAAGAAATATGTAAAATATATATACATACTGTTATAACACACATACACGTACATAAATATATAAAAAACATTCAAAAATACTCACTAAATCATTTTATGTAAATAATTTCATAAAAATATCACTTGTGGATTTCCATAATAATTGTATAATGATATTTTGCTTAAATGAATTTAATACTATGAATTAGAAATCATATTTTATTTATTTGTTGCTTTGCCACAGTGTTGCTAAAAGGCAAAGACTTTTTGACATGCCAATGCTTTAAAGGCGATGCCAAAATGTTATAACATTTTAGATATGCTTTAAATAATATAGGCAATAAACAAAAACCAGAATTTAAATTATAATTAATAAATTTAATTTATCATTTCAGCAATCTAAATTTTTTACAAACATATAAATTTCATTTATATCCGCATAAGGGGCAAAATTCAACATTATTAGCAACACTGAAAATCCCCATTGTAAAGTGTTTCGTTCCTCGTGTGTGTTTTTGTTCATCGTTTTGCAACAGAAGTGTAGAGCCATTTGAAGGCACCTAATTTTTTGTATTTTTCTTTGATCGAGGTAATAAAACATTTGGTGTGCGAATTTTCCAAAAATAATGTTCAATTACAATATAGAGCATAATTCTATAAATATGCAAATTTTGGCTAAAATCAACGCAAACGCTCATAAGCGCCCGGTGCAGACAGGAACTTTGGTGGCAAACCAAAAAAATTACATAACCCAAATCGGAGGGCAAATAGATAGAAATCTTTGGCAAAATGTTTATAATTACAATTTGCATATTTATACAAATAATTGTGCACCTCTTAGCATGCTGACATAACGCATATACAAGAAAGTCACCATATAGTTTCTTTGTAATTCCAGTGTAGAAGTACATAGCAGCCAAACAAAATGCGTATCACCTCGTCCCTGCTTGGAGCCCACTTCGGCAACTTGGCCAAAGTGCACGGTATTGTCACCTATAAGCTATCGCCATTTGAGCAGCGTGCATTTGCTGGTGCGATTAGCAAAGGTCTGCCCAACATTTTCAACCGCATCCGCTCTAATCTCTTCATTGTGGCACCACGTAAGTTGTTTGCTACTTTTTACGTATTAGCATTTAAGTTTTCCTAATATTTTGGTTAACATTATTTTCCAGCCTTCATTGTTGGATACCTTATCTATGATCTGACGGAACGTGAGCACCACCACTTGTCTCGTAAGAATCCAAAGGATTTCGAGAATGAAGAATAGAAATGTATATTTGAAATTAAATAGATTTTCGATCACACAAAACATGTAAAAGAAATATAGTTTAATTATGCAAAGTCTGTATTTTTTAGGGTACTTTGCTGCAGATTTAAATTTGTGAGAGTTTACATTATTATTTTATTAACTGACTAGCGATTGTGGTTAGACATGGTGCTAACTTGATGAGTCGTAGGGTTAACCATAGAAATATTAAAAATTCGGTTAAACTAAAACTACGAAACATTTTGTTTATCTCTAAGGTGCTTTTTACAAATGGAGTAGCACTTGAGTGCATTAAGAGAAGATAAGGAACTCGGCAAACATTTGTTGCAAGGAGTAAGAATCACATATTGTTGTTTTTTTTTTTTACTATATATTAAAAATAAAAAAATTTTTTTAAATTGGATGTAAGAAATTTAAATTTAAATTTTGAGTTAAAAAAGAGTAAAGAATTTTTCTCCTATATTCATAATTAATGGTTCACCCTACAAATACGTAACGCAAGTTCTCATTACGTGTTGAAGTGTCATAAGACAGTCAGCTGATGTAACTGTCAATTTACATTTTACAGCTGTATTTGTGTCGTTTAATAAATTTCTTTGTTTTTCTAGCATATTAATTTTTTTAAGAAGTTTTTGGCGGAATTTCTTTTTCATGTATAAACTACTTATAGTCAACAAAGTGCATGCGAATTCCTAAAGCGACTTTTGGCGTAATATTTAAGCAACTTTAAGGTAATTCCTGAACGTAAACGGATGCAGATAGACAACAGTATAAGATGGAAGATTGCTGCAGTAATGAAATGCGCAGTCAAACCTTTCATAATGTGTTGAAATCAGTATTAGATTCCAAAGTAATCAACATCCAAGTATTTACCGTGGCCGTTGGTATCCTGTTTATTGTAATTCTACTGAAGAATCGTTTTCGCAGTTTCTGTGGCACTTAACTAAACGATAACGTAATAAGGACTGGAGTTCTGTGGTGGTGTGTAAAACTGGACATGTAGTAACTTAATAAATTAAGATTCAATATAAAAATCTAACTTGAAAAGTTCTTTTAATTTTCATTGCAGTTGTAATGTATATGTATATATTAAATTGTTCATAAATATATGAACGGAGGACTTGACATTGAGGAAAATCGTGTATGTATTAATAGTAGATATATTAATAGAGATGCAAAATGTTTATCAAAGATTAATACTAAACTAAATCCAACGTTAACCTCGGTTTCATCGAAGCTAGAACACTCTTCACCAAAAAATAGTTTCCATACAGGATTATTCCATACAAGTAGATTTTATTTTGGTCTGTTAGTTGGTCGGAAGTTCCGACAAATAAGCAGAGAATGGAGGAAAAGAACCTATGAAAATTTAAGATCAATATCTCAAAGCCTGAAGAACTAGTTCGCGTTTATACAGACGGTCACACGGACATGGCTAAATCAACTCAGTTTGTCACGCTGATCATTTATATACATATATATATTTTAAAGAGTCTCCGTTGCTTTTTCTTTGTTTACAAACTTCGTGATAAACTTAATATCCTCTGTTCAGCGTGTAAGAAGTATGAAATAGCCTTGAGTAAAAAAATGGATATATGTGCACAGATATACAGCCATCTATTGTGTGTAATACAAAATTGTTATACTATTGCCCACCGGATCTGTCCGTTATATGAAATTAATATAGGCAACATACCTTGCACAAAGATTATATATGTACGCTCGATCTGCGCTGTTGTAGATGCATTAACAAACCTCTGATGCTAAAGAAATTGATATAATGGCGTTCCTTATTGAAAATTTCACTTTTCTAATTGATACAAAAG